ACTCCTATTTCATTGTCTTGTCTCTTGTTCTCACCATTGAAATTACCAAAGACGTAATCTTATTCATGTACACAAACACACACGCGTTGGTTGCATAAAAAAAAAATCTATATATATATAGAGGAGGAGGGGAGTGAGGGAGGTTACACCGTTGCTATCTTTTTCTCTGTGTATACTCCTAATTCCTTTGTTTGACCAAGACTGTCGAGATTTTGATGGTGGTGTAATCAAGTCTGTTCTTTGTTGGTCAATGTAGTCATATTCACTCGAACAAATTTACTGTCATTCAATGTAATTGATAATAATATACAAAGTCCATTATGTAGGGAGTATAATGTGTCCTTGTCAATTGAACAGTTAAACGAGCTTGCGCAACTTCTCCTTTTATTCATACATAAATGTTTTTGTCATTGTGATGATAGTGTAAAGCTTTCAAGCTTGCTTTCTTTTTCTTTCTCGCTTCTCTTACTTGTTGTTCACATAAATATATATATTTATACATACAATGAATAATGATGATGATGTTGATGTGGTCAAGATGTATACACATACTATATATGTCTTGAAAAAAACAAAGCAAAAAAAAATAATAATAATAAGAGACAATAAGTGATTGAAAAGCAACAAATGCAATAGAACGAAAAGAAAGAAACGAGGTTGATAAGATAGAAAAAAAAAGAAAGAAAAAAGAAAAGAAAAGAAATGAAAGCAAATAACGGAAGGAAGGAAGAAACGAGCAGAACGCTCAGTACACTCTCTTCATTAATGTTCATCATTCACCCGACCTTGACCCATCTTCGTTTATTCCAAACTCCCAATCTGTAGAAATTCGATGCCAATATTGCTGTTAAGATGTGAAAATGACTTCAATGAATCTCAACTATATTCTGTTTTCTTTTTTTCTTTCTGCTTTCTATTAACTGAATACTAATGATGATTGTTATTGACATTTTTTTTTCTTTTATTCTTCATCTCTCACACAAAAACAAAAAAAGGAACACCCGAATATGTCGGAAGCACTTCTTTTATTTTCAATTGATCTCAATGTTTGAATCTAAATAAATTGATGGTATAGTACCACTACACTACGTCCGAGAACATACCCAGCAGGCAATAGTCTGAACGGCGTTGTTTGTACTGAACACTGGCTAATAAGGCGTCTCTATATCAAGTTACTTACATACAAATGTATTGAATACATGCAGAGCGGTGCTATTTACCTTGAACAAGGTGGTTAGATCGATTGATCTATGCGACTATTGAACAATATGAATGCTTGAACTGTCGTCTTAGTTCACCATATGCTAATTGAAATGTTAAAGTTGATCGATAATACAATTCTATTCAATTTGAACATCAACGAATAGAATGTTGCTGACGTAAATCAGCTTCATCATTTCTTGATTTTCACTTTTCTATCTTATATACATACAGCTGGTACCTTTCTCTGTCTATGTATATATCTATGTGCACCACCCAATCTTCATCTATGAACATATAAGAAGAAGAAAAAGAAGAAGAAAAAGCTCAAGAATGCAACCATCAGTTGATTTCATTTTCTCATAAAAAAAAAGGAGAACAAAAGAGAAAAAAATGAACCTGAGTGCAATATCTTTTTTAATAAAATGTATCTGTTAAAATACCGTATCTTAAGAGATAACAGAAGAAATCTTCAAGGATAACCTGCTTGTCCTTGCGTATAGTGTCATCCGTGATAATTGACGACAATCATACGTTATGTTGACAGACTCCATGACAACGAGTTAGATCATTATTAACCTCGAACTGTTTTATGAGTGTTATATACATATATATATGGTCGAGACAATTTTCATTTGACCATATAGCAGATGTATTTTAACTATGCCTAAGGGATGATGAAAAAAAAAGTCAGCTAAGTTTCCATATATCATGTAAAGAGTTCAAAGTTGATGATTAATCTTTTCACACAGTGGAACCATCTGTCAAACAAAAGTCAAAGTATAACAAGAACAGACTTATCCGAATCTTGATAAGAAGGATACAGATGAGAATATATAGACAAACTATGCTTAGAAAAAGAAAGAATATAGAAAATGGATAATGACTATCATGATAATCAACATCAACCAAGACACAAAAAAAAGAGATTGTAATCTTGTCTGCCTGATTTATTTTTGTAATTGTTTATTATCTTAAAAATCAATATCAAATTACAATATATTTTTAGTACCGAATAATTTTTTCTTATGAATATAACTAATAATTTTTTTTTTTTTTTTGTCAATAGCTAAATCTATAATTCTATCCAAATATTATTTCCTATTATTTATCTTATTAATAAATCAATAGCCAATAGAAAATTAGCTTCATGTCGTCTAAGTAGAAACTACCTTTTTAAAAATTTACTATTTATATGTCATAAATTAAGTGGTGTAAAATCATTTACCTTTTTTTTAGATTGATTTTATCTGAGTTGCCATTACTTCCTCGTTACAATTCTTTATGGTATTGCTTCTAGTTTGTCTTCTGTTTTTTTTGCTTCTGCTTCTTTTGATCGATATGATGGTGTATTGATGAGGCAAAACATTCTTTCTTCCATCTATCCATACATTCATTCATTTATGTTATAGACCTATCAAGCTTGAATTCTATGGGAATGTTGAGAGAATAACAACAACAATCTGTTCGAAGAACATGACCATCATTAAAGAAAAAGGAAAAAAAAAAGAAAAAGAAAAGATATTACATCATATTCCATTCGACATGGAGTTCTAGTCGCTGATCATAACGATGAGTTGAGTGTAAGATAACAATCATATAAAGAAGAACAAGAAGAAGAAGAAAAAAAAACCTAAAATAAGAACAGAATTGAATATTATCAAATGCAATGAACGGAAAGTTCAAGTAACAAAAATAATAAATCGCCTAGAGAATTGTATCAATGATGTTTTCTTTTTAAACAGATAATAATATGAAAAGTTATTCTTATGATAATAACAACTCATTTATTCAGTTTTTCTTACTTGTCTTATATTGTCTTTATAAATTTTCTTTTGAGTTTATGCATGTATATATATGCTTTCCTTCGACGAGTGCAAGGTCATTCTTATGTATATGTGTGAGTTGAGTCGATTTATTGTTCCGGTCATGCAATATATATATATAAAAAAAAGAAGGTAGTTTAATTATAATGAAACAGCATTCGAAATAAGCAAATGCCACTTGAGATCGATCAAGCAATCGACGACCTGAATATAAAATTAATCAAATTGAACATTTACTATAGCTGACCTTGGACCGTCTTATTCTGGCTTCTTTTCTTTTTTTCTTTTCTCGAGAGATTATTTCAATTTTTTTTAATCATATACTATTCCGATAAACTTTTATCCGTAAATGAGTTTGATATTTAATTTTATCTATATAATCTATCCAATAAATTCTTATTTTTTTTTCTATTTAAAGAAATATCATCTTTTTAGGTTAAATTATTTCTCTAATGAACAATTATTCTTAGTTCACTACTACATTTTAAAAACTTGACAATCATTTATCATTATTTAATGTAGATTTTGTTCTAACAATCATCTTCATCGATTGTTCATTGTAAAAACGTCTCCAGATGGTCAACAATTTTTTTTTTGTTGCTTTGAATTACGTCATCAAGTATTGAAAGAATCAAAAGAAGAAAAAAAAAGTTATGACTTGAACAACTATTATCCATGATTAGATATTACATAGCAAGTAAAAATAATTTTTAATAAATCTCAAAAGAACTCCGGAAGGATATAAAAATATAATGTTTATTGATTCATAATTTATCAAGAGAAATAAATATGCAAGGACATTAGTCTATTGCATAGATATTTACTTGAAATTAATTAACATAAATATTGTTACTAATGCAAAAAAAAGAAAAATCTTTATTCCACTTCAAATCGACTAATATCATAAAAAAGAAATGATCATAATAAAATTTACTACAAATAAAAAATAGCCGTACTCTTTCAAATAGGCTTGAAGGCTATTCTATAACATATTGAAACTCGTAAGCCATCTGTGAATGTCATAAATTCTTAATCAATTTTAACTTAACAATTATTTAGTAAATGAACATAGAATAAAAAATAAACTAAAGCATTAGTCTACGATAAATTTTTTCTATCATTTGTAAGTCAATCACTATTTAATATATATTAACATATAATGATAATTTATATTCTCTCTCTCTATATATTCATATATATTGATGCAATGAACTGTCATTATTTGATTTGTGAATAGATGTCGAAATTTGCCTTAATTTATTTAAGTCAATTAGTTATAGGAAAACGACTTAAAGGCAATTTTTCAGTTGTATGTTAATATTTATATTTTATGCTTATTCTTTTTTTTTTGTTTCAATAGTAAAAAAAATTTATAGATATAAGGATGTTCTGAAAAATATTGTACGAGAATAATCAAAAAAAAGAGAATGGAAATAATGAAGGTAATTGTGGAAATGATGGTTGTTATTAGATAAGAATCATTGAACACGTACAACAATTGATTGATAAATCTTTAATAATAATTAACAAAGAAATAAAATGAGTCAAGTATAGAATTGAATATAAGAAAAAGTTTTATTAATTATTTATCATTGTCTATTCAACTAATTAAATTATTAAAAATTTTGCAGCATTAAAAAGAAACGTTATAAATGAATTTAAAACAACTTAATAAGATATTAATAAAACAAATATTCTATCAACATATCTGAATCTTCATTTGTTATTACCATCGTTTATCATACTTCGATTTAAAACAAAGATCTACGTTGAAAATTTATAATTAATATAAACTAAAAAGAATCTTTCGACTAATAATTTGAATGAATTATACTATCTTTCTGTCTATATGCCACAGACTTCACATTAAATATGAAAATTCTTCTAAAAAAATGAAATAGCTGATAAAAAGTGAATGTATAAGTAAAACGACTTATTTACTTTCACATATAATATTAAAATTCATTTAAGAAAATGAAATATCTGATATATTCATATGATGAACTTATATTAATGAATAAGAATGTTAAAACTATAAAACATATTTATTTATGTCGAAATAATTTATCATTTAATGGTGAAAATTTATCAGGAAATTATTTAAATGAATCAGTTTTAACTGGTAATATTCATATAAACTCATTAGTATTTTTAACACATTATCCAATAAAAAAAAATAATGTTTGATTAAACTAAATCAATTTAATTTAAAAAATATAAATTTAGAAAAGAATTTTTTTTGTTAATCAGAAACAATATTTTTGTCAACAACATATTATTATCTTAATCTTGCTAATTATTATATAACATTAATTCGATTAGAAAATATTGAAAATTTTTTTCCATTAAACATATTAAAAAATAATTTAAATGAATTTTATTCATTAACAATATTAGATTTAAATAACGTTTAATGTACTATTTTATGATTTAAAAGGAAGAATTCATTTCCGTAACAAAACAAGAAAAAACCAGTATTTGATTTAGGCTACTTATTGAAAATTTTCTTTTTGAGTTGTTTACAAAAATATTATATATGACATTTATAGTTTGACAGGTTTTGTTTTGTTACATAACTCATCAACAAAGGTTTTTATCGAAAGGTAAAACAAAAATTTTAAAGTTTGTTTTTCTATTTGTCTATTAAAACAGTTTTTAGATTCGATGTTACAGCAAATGAAGGCAGAGAAAACAAAATTTGAAGTAAACTTAGCTAATCAAGATTGTTTAACCGATAGGAATGAACAATTTTAGATTGTTACAAATGGATATTTTCATAAAATTTTATCAATTTTCTTCTCTTTTAAAGTAAATTTCTATATTATCTCGAAAAATTAATTAATTAAATAGATTCTATTCTGTTTAGATAATAATCATCAAATTCATTTAATTTTATCGTTATAATATTTGTTCTCGAAAATATCAATGAATAGACTACATGATATTATGATTTATTTTCCACCTTCAAATCAATTAGATGTATTTAAACCAACTGATGTTTGCCAATTTGATACGTAGAAAAAAAATTATATTTATTATAATTTATTGTTTTTTTTTTCTCTTTTGAAATAAATATTTAGTATAAAACGTACAATAATTGTTTTTCCTCTTAGTTTTATTTCAGCACTTTGATCAAAATATTCTAAAGATACAATACATACAATCTATAGTAATTTATTACAAATGATAAAATCTGATGTCTAGAAACTGAAATTTTTTTTCTTCTGAAATTCTTTTTTTTTATTATTATTTAAGGTCCCCCTCCTCAGAAATGATTTCCCACTTATGATAGTCCTTTTGGGCTGAAATTTTCAGGGATAACTTATCCTGGTGAGAAAATTTTCTGATAAAAATTTCAGTCCTATAGATCCTACTAGACCGGATTTTCAGCTGATTCACAGGTCATTTTTGGCTTTCAGCAGAATCGGTATAACTTCGTCGCGACACGAGGTATGGAGCTCGGAGTGGTTTCAAATTAAAGCCAATGGCAGTATGTAGCTTTTCATCAACCAGAATTTTTAAATTCCCTATTGTTGATTTTTTATGAGTATTTTAGTAGACATGCCTTAAACGAAGCATGAAAAAAAGGTGATCCGACGACAGTAAATTCTATTTTTCTCAGCCCTGGAATCGACTTTAACCCTTTGAGTCCCGACGACGTATATATATGTCCTACTCTTTCACTCAGAATACCGGCGATAATAAATACGTATGGATATTATTATTGAACAAACATGTTACTAGCTTATTCTTTTATGATCTGGAAAAGTGTTTTATCTGTTAGGTCACGGAGTAGGGTCATGAAATCATCCTAGGAATCTATAGTCGCTATAATCATCATACATTCTTTTGCGTTGTTTCAGATATAGGTAGTATAAGTTACAAAGTAAAATTTACACAGACCGAGTACTATTGGAAGACCGTCGACAGAGAATCTTCTCTTCATCTAACTGCTCAACATTTTCCTTCGCTCGCTCCACCAACATCGCAATCAAAGTAGCCTCAAAGAAAATTTATTGTTGGCCCATCTCATAGATTTCGACCGGATACAAGATATGTGTCTTGACAGCAATGTACCTCTATGTATTGTTGATTATTTTGAAGACTATCATACGAAAATAAACTGCTAATGTTTCCTTGACACAGAAATACAATGTCTTTCAAAAAACAAATAAACATTATATTTAAAGATTTATAAAAATCTGGATTTTCGCAAAAAGAAAGTCAGGACTCAAAGGATGAAACTCTAACTGTCAACAAATGGTCATTGAGTATATAGTTTCACTTAGAAATAAAAGTCAGTATAGTTATATGAAGAATTCGTTAAGAAAACTATCTGTTATAACTCGATAGTCAATTATAACGAATTGTTATTTCTTACTTGTAATAATATAAGGATTTTTCTCTTATTTATTTTAATTGAAATAATCAATATACAATGGAATTTACAATGAAGGAAAATATTGATAAACATCTTTAGAAAAACTTGTCATGTTTTTGTCAATTAATCGTTTCACTTTCGAACAATCACGTTGCATTGCATCTCTAGTGAAGTATAGTGTTGCGTCTTCCAATGCATCATAGTTGGCTATTAGATGAGTTAGACAGGGTAAATATGTTTTTGTTTCCAGTAGAAATTGTACAATATAATCTTTATTTGAATACATAAGGTCCAGTAATATAAGATGAGGATATTCAATAATTGAATTAGATAAATTCTCATTAGATTTCATTGTATAATCGTCACATAATTGTGAAATACGATTTTCTAGAGAGAAAAACATAAGCATTGGAAAAACTTTACTGATTTACATAAAAAATTCATGCTTTAATCTAATCGAATCGTGGATATACAAGTGAGTTACACTGTTAAATATCATATTTGGAAATTGACTTGAGATGTTCAAATGAGTAAATGAAAACGGATACGAATAAACATGACATTTAATTGTAAACGTATCGAGCTTTTCTATGATACAAGTCGTTTGTCTACATTTTATATTTGTAAAAGTTTGTTGAATATTATCAGTCGATATAGAACGAGGTAAGTTACTAGTGCAAATTTCTGTACTTATATAAAAGGTGAACGTATGAAGTTGAGGCATATAAATAAGAATTTCGTTATGAAGGTGTGTGCCATCGATGAGTGGACCTTCAGTACGAATACGAAGATACAAAGTTAACTTTTCTAGATGTATCATACGATGAAGAAGTGGCACAACCAATTCGTGATAATAAGAAGTGACGTGATAACTTGTTAATGAAAAAACACTTCGAATTATATAAATTACCCTATAAAATATGAAAATGTTTATTAGTTGAATTAAAATAGAAACTTGATGAGAGAAAACAGTTGAAAACACTCTATTCATTTACAATAATTTTTTGTTAAACATTTGTTATATTTGATAAGATGTAGATTATTCAATAATCATATCTAAAATCCATAGTCGATATATCTAAACTTTCCAAACACTGCAAACTGAAGATTTGTAGAGTCTAATTTAAAATAAAGACAGTTAACTTTAGAATTTGACAAGATTTGAAAAGAGTTTGATATTCTTAAGTTGATTCGATATCTAAATCTACCTGAAATATCAATAAATACAATAAATTACTTTCCGTTTATGAGTCATTACACATAAATCACCAGCAATTCTAGTAGAAAGTGGTCAATCAATCATCTCCGATTTTGTTCATTTTGACATATATGATTGGAGACAAGTGTTTGATGATTTTCGAGTCGGAGATGGTTGATTGAGCACTTCCTACTAGAATCCCTGATGGTTTACGTCCAATGGTTGGTATAGAGTAGAACTGTCATTATTAAATGAAATTCAAATAAACAGAAAAATATCTTTTTGAAAATCTTCCGAAATATTTTTCGCAGCAGAAAACGCCCTAAAACAAGCTGATACTACTTCAAAATGCGCTTTGTGACTATGATCACTGTACTTTCCCAAAAATCGTAGACTACAGTTTTAGCAGTGTGCTGGAAAAAGATCGAAAGGGAAAACTATCGAAAAAATTGATATCTCCTGTAGATGATGATTCTAAACATCTTTAGCTCATTGTTGTTGTTCTTATAACTTTACTGGCCTGGATTTGTAATCAGTAGTGGTGATGAATAACACTTGGTATAGATTAACTAAAAGAGTTGAACAAAGAATTTTTATACAACTAAAATTCTATTGTCATGGCTACAGCTGTTCCATCTTCATTGGATTTAAGTGACCGACAATCGCTAGCTATTCTCGTTGCAACTCAACGTCGTATGGACAAATCTTGGTAAATGGTACGATGACAATGTTATAATGGTTATAGAATACTTAGTTGATTTGTCATTTACAGTTGCTAAACGAAAAAAATGACACTATAAATTTTTTCTTTTTTATCTCTTGATTTATGTTTGATCTCTGTTCGAATGTTAATATTATATCATAAAATAAATTATGTGCCTTGTAGGTTAGAATTTTCTAAAGCATTTTGAACCATTTTCTTCGTTCATATGTTTTTTTCGAGATTTTTACGGCCAGCCGTAGTAGTGCCTAAAATCTATTATTCATTACTAAGGGCGACGCAGCAGCATTATGAAGAGTGGCGATTACTTCGCAGAAAATTCCATTCTTCCTGTTTATACCAGAATAAAACTACTGAATCCAATATACATTAATTCAATACGATCTGTAGTTCATCAGGAGAACTGAACCATACTCTCATGATTTTGTTTATTGTTATCCTGATGAATATATATATTTGATATGTAATTATTTAAGCAACATAGAACCTATAAGTGATCTTGAAAATTTACTGCTGGATTAGGATCAACAGCATGATCATAAATTGGCTTCCATTTCTCTAAGACTGACTATATGATATTTAATGAGTTTGATCAAAAGGATTGAAGGTCGATTAGGCAACATTAAATGAGTGAAACTCAACAGCTGATCTTCTTTGCTGCTGATTAAAAATAAATAGTTAAACAACCTGAAGAACAATACCTCTGTCCTTCTAGCTGATTGTTACATCTGTCATTTTTTTCCAAGAAAAGAATAGTTGCTGGAATTTTAGACAACTTGTTACATGGATATAAAGACAAAAATATAATAGTCAATAAATGAAACATAACGGCAAAAAGTTTGATCTTGTACTAATTTGTTTTTAGTAAATTTTTCTTTTCAATAAAAAATATTACACTAAGCTGTAATTCGTAATACACTGTCAGATGATACAATACTCAAGTTTCCATATATTATGCCTTTGAGAAAAATTAAATTGAAACGACAAAGATTTTGCTACAATACTGTCCACTATTGAGAGAGAAGAGATAAAATCCAACCATTTAAAACTTTATTGCTTCCTCTAAAAAATTTACTTTGTGCCACCCATGTTCATTATTTCGTCTTCTTTGTCT